AGTAGCTAAAGAATAAGCACTAGTACCTAATGAATAAGTACTAGTACTTAATGGAAAAGATACTAGTATCTAAAAAATAGGTACTAGTACCATGAAAATAGACACTAGTACGGCTTATAGATTAAATGTTAAAACGGCTTGCCATACTGCGTGCGCACCAGAACGGCAAGCCGTTTTAACATTTAATCTATTTCCCGTGATTCACACGAGTCCGGCAACCGCATCTGGCCCGAGTTATTTCTTCCGGCTTGCCGGATTTGGGCCGTTATCGGGCCAGATCTTTTTGGCTACCTGGGATACCTGTACATACAATTGTCGATTTGTATATTTTTTATTCCTTATTTGACTTGTTCTATTTTTTATTTATTTTAATTTTTTATTATCTGTGTTTTTTTGTTCTGTCACTGTCATTCTGTTACACTGTGGAAGCTTCTGTCACGAAAACAAATTCCTCGTATGTGTAAACATACCTGGCAATAAAGCTCATTCTGATTCTGATTCTGATTCTGAACTTGAAATGAATTCGGCAGCCAAGTATGCGCGCTCACTCTCGCGCGGGGCGGCGCGTCCCCGGTATATTTGAGCGCGCTCGCGGCCGCTGCGGGTACACTCGCTGCACGATGGCGGAGGGAGGCGGACCCGAGTCGGGTAACGCTTCGGGCCCCGACGAGAAGCCGGTGATCGCACAGACACCAGTACCGTCCACCGAGAGTCAAAAGCAGAGCATCGGCACACTGCTAAAAACGCCACTTCGAAAGGGAGACGAGTGGTAAGAGGTTTTTATGTGAAGCCGAAGTCAAGGCACGCTTGTCGGCATCAGCTCCGGCCTACTGACGGTGACACCGGCTGCCGGAAATCCCTTCACTAGCCGGGCATTGGACAGCCACCTGCTCCGCTAACACCCATAAACTAGAAGGCTGCTATTATTATCGAGGAGTTGTACGAAGCAAGCGTGCGGTTTACTGTAATAAGGATTTAACTTTATTTACATCGGTTAGAATTCGAGGAAGCTGTCTTGTAGCTAGTTAGCACAGGTTAACCAGCCTTAGCTTCGCGTTTTTCCCCAGTTCTTCTGTTTAAATGTCTCATTAATGGAAAAACAAGACGTTTTCAGACACGTTAGTAGCTGAAGGGATAGTAAATAAACTCAACCACCCCATTGTCGGTTATCAGTTCTCTGATAAGCTACATGGCAAAGTAGCGTCAGGCATGTAAGGCACTTCATTAGCCGAGGCTAGTTAGCCAGGCTAGTTTGCGTTTCATTTGACGGGTTAAGTGTTCATTTCTGTAAGACGTCAACCTTATTTAAGACGAACTGTCAAACTAGATTAAAATAACGGCCAAACTCCTGCCTGTGAAGTTGTGACGAAGACTAAGCTACCTAAACCAGTAATCCAGTGAGGCAGTGCTTTGTCATGGCCACTGGACGGCCAAACTCCTGCCTGTGAAGTTGTGACGAAGACTAAGCTACCGAAACCAGTAATCCAGTGAGGCAGTGCTTTGTCATGGCCACTGGATAACACCCAGTAACTCACAGTGTTGTTTGGCAATAGACGAGTTTATGGCACAGATAGTAAACACACAAAAATAGGTCTGAAGTTAGTGGAGATTACAAGCCCAAAATATATACGCATTATTCAGATTTTAAACCCGTTTGTATATGTAAGGGTTTGGATAACAGTCCGCTTTTATTTTGAGAGTAGACTGACGAGTTTTAATAAGTGAAGAGACTAGTGACTCAACAGAAAGGACAATATTTAGTTTCAGTTGGATTAAAAGTACTTTCAGTGTATAGATTTATACGAAAGCTATTAATTTACTCATGTAAACGTTGTTAGTTAAGCTCAGTGTACTCTATTTCTGAAGAGTTTAATGTTGGCTACATTAACGTTATAATATAACGTTTTGAAATGAACATAGTTGAATGCTTAAGACTAAGCTACCGAAACCAGTAATCCAGGGAGGCAGTGCTTTGTCATGGCCACTGGATAACTAACACCCAGTAACTCACAGTGTTGTTTGGCAATAGACGAGTTTATGGCACAGATAGTAAACACACAAAAATAGGTCTGAAGTTAGTGGAGATTACAAGCCCAAAATATATACGCATTATTCAGATTTTAAACCCGTTTGTATATGTAAGGGTTTGGATAACAGTCCGCTTTTATTTTGAGAGTAGACTGACGAGTTTTAATAAGTGAAGAGACTAGTGACTCAACAGAAAGGACAATATTTAGTTTCAGTTGGATTAAAAGTACTTTCAGTGTATAGATTTATACGAAAGCTATTAATTTACTCATGTAAACGTTGTTAGTTAAGCTCAGTGTACTCTATTTCTGAAGAGTTTAATGTTGGCTACATTAACGTTATAATATAACGTTTTGAAATGAACATAGTTGAATGCTTGGGCTTCTCGTTGCATTTAAAAAGAGATTTTTAAGTTAAGAGACTGACAGCTTCGCTTTCCTTTCACTTTCAGTGCATTTTCCCCATGAAATGAAAATGAAATATTTGTGTTCCACTGAAAAAAGTAAACAATAACAGAATTTTCACTTTTGGGTGACCAATTTTAATTCAGGATTTTGATTGGACCTTTAATATAACCAAAGTATAATGTCCCTTGGCAGTGTGGAATCAAGTGCTAACAAGCTTATGTAGTGGAACAAGTTCCTACTTTAGATGAGATTAAGGAAGACATCCTTACTGACGGTTCTATATTTGTAGATGTGTAACAACACAATAGATATTTGCTTTGCCAACAGTTTAGCCCTAACATTTTAGGAGAGAAGCACATTAATTGTACTTTTCCCTTGACTTTTCACTGATCTCCACCTATTGTTCCAACTGTGTAGGTATTTGATTGACAGCCGGTGGTTCAAACAGTGGAAGAAATATGTGGGCTTTGACAGCTGGGATTTGTACAATGTTGGAGAGCACAATCTGTACCCTGGACTCATTGACAACTCTGGACTCTTTTCAGGTAATCAATGTTGAGGGTTGTGCCCATCTTTGTTCACATTCTCATAGATAACTGTTGTGAAATTTTTTCTTTTTTTTTCTTTCTTGCCAGCAGTAAAATGAGCTTTTAAGAATATGATTTCTTATTCAGTTAGGTATGTGAATAGCCTCTGAATTAGGTAAATACATTTTTTAGGATCTTACTGTGTATTTATGTTTTGATATTTCAGTCTTAAAGGGTAGTTCACCCAAAAATCTTCTTTAATTTATTCAGCCTCATGTCATCCCAACCTCAGTGGAGCACAAAAGGAAATTTTAAGCCATATACAATAAACCTTATGAGTCTAATGTTTTCATTGATCAGTGATTTGTTCGAACTAATTAATAATGAAATAATTTGATTTAACATCTCACTGGAGGAAAAGATTATTGTTGCATAACTAATAAGTAGATCGTTAGATTTTTCTCACCTAAAGCTATAATTTGATTTCTAAAGACTTGGAATATAGTTGTATGGCATTTTTATGTTGCATTGCTTCCTTTTTGAAGATTGAAAGCTCCATTACCCATAGGCCTGGGCGATAAAACGATATCGATATTTATCGACGGTAATAAAAAATGTTCGATATAGCGCACGATATAGGCACGTGCTATGAGTGACGCAGACAGCACACACAAACGCGAACACATGCTGAATTGAGTGCTGTGCCTGCCTGTGATGAGGAGATTGTGAATAAAGAAAGAATATTAGTCTAATTTAAATTAAACATTTGCATTTGAATCTTAGGTGTGCATCAGGGAGCATCATCAGTGGCGCGCAAGATGCAGTGATGATGTAGGCTAAGTGCCGTTGTTGCATTTTAATGTTTTGTTAGTCTAGTATGAATATGAATGAATAGTGATGCTGTTTAGTTCATAATTGTTTATGCAATTTACGAAATTATATTTGATTTTTATGAGTAATAAAAATTTTTTTATCTTAATTTAAATCTTAATTTAGACGTAATGCACGTTTTTATAGAGTTACTTCCTTGCGTTGACAATTTAAATGCGCTGCATTATTTTGCTCAATGCGCCCTCGGGAGACAATTAGGCCTATACAATAAAGACCTATTTAATCTG